CAATTAACTGATAAAAAAGAAGAATCACGGACTTATCGTTCTTTTCATTTAAGTAAACATTGATTTTACACTGTGCTAATTATATATCAATATTACTAAATTTAGAGACTGGTTTTTATGAGCTGCAACTCCTCTTTCATTTCTTTCATCATACAGTTTTGTGGTATGCCATTTGTTTGTTTCCTTAAATTGTATAACACAATCAATTCTTTTTTGTAGATTCATATTTTTTTTAAATAATACTAGAATCTAGAGTCCAAATTTAACTCTTTTCCAATCTGGAATCCGTATTTTACTATTTAAATACTATTTCACCCATGCGCACACACCTTCCGTAATCCGTTAAGATTTGACTAGTAAGAACTAACAAACATTAAAACACAATGACGTATTTGAATGAAACGGTTGATGCAGCAACACAAATAAATATTGTCTGACATACAGTGATTCCTGGTATATGTTAAGTTTGAATTAAATAAGGGCGAAATGGAGATTCAATTTAAAATGTTGATATGTTTTTTGTTTTTGTTTTGTCGAGTTAACTGTCTCATTGGTATTCGAATACTCTACATTTTCTTTTATTCATATGGTTTCGTCTTCGTATCATTGGCATATTTATATGTTGGCTTAAATGGCTATTGACTTATAGACACTTAATTTAACACACGTTACCGAATATGAATTTCACAAAAAAAATTAAGACAATAAATTATTTGTATGACTAATATTATACTTCAGTTACTAGTATATGGAACATATAATTCTTGAAGTGTATTTACTGATCATAAAAAGCCTCTGTACAGTTGATTAAACAGTTTAATACAAGTTTGGAAATGGAAAACATATCTTATATTTAAAATGAAAGTAAGGAGATATGCATCGTTTTTCAAAGTTGCCAAATAGACAACTATCAACCGGAGTCCAAATGAAGGAGATGTAAGCAACTATAAAAGAATAAGGAGATGTGGTATGATTGCCAATGAGACAACTATCAACCGGAGCTCAAATGAAGGGTATGAAAGCAAGTATATAAGAATAATGAGATGTGGTATGATTGCCAATGAGACAACTATCAATCGGAGTCCAAATGAAGGGGATGTAAGCAAGTTTATAAGAACAAGGAGATTTGGTATGATTGCCAATGAGACAACTATCAACCGGAGTCCAAATGAAGGAGATGTACGCAACGATATAAAATAAGATTGCCAATGAGACAACTATCAACCGGGATCCAAATGAAGGGGACGTAATCAACTACTAGTATATAAGAATAAGAAGATGTGGTATGATTGCCAATGAGACAACTATCAACCGGAGCTCAAATGAAGAGGATGTAAGCAACTATATAAGAATAAGAAGATGTGGTATGATTGTCAATGAGACAACTATCAACCGGAGTCCAAACGAAGAGGATGTAAGCAACTATATAAGAATAAGAAGATGTGGTATGATTGTCAATGAGACAACTATCAACCGGAGTCCAAACGAAGAGGATGTAAGCAACTATATAAGAATAAGGAGATGTGGTATGATTGCCAATGAGAAAACTATCAACCGGAGCTCAAATGAAGAGGATGTAAGCAGCTATATAAGAATAAGAAGATGTGGTATGATTGTCAATGAGACAACTATCAACCGGAGTCCAAACGAAGAGGATGTAAGCAACTATATTAGAATAAGAAAATGTGGTATGATTGCCAATAAGAAAACTAGCTCAAATGAAGAGAATGTAAGCAACTATATAAGAATAAGAAGATGTGGTATGATTTCCAATGAGAAAACTATCAACCGGAGCTCAAATGAAGAGGATGTAAGCAACTATATAAGAATAAGAAGATGTGGTATGATTGCCAATGAGAAAACTATCAACCGGAGCTCAAATGAAGAGGATGTAAGCAGCTATATAAGAATAAGAAGATGTGGTATGATTGAAAATGAGAAAACTATCCAAATGACGTAGATATAAGCAATAGTTCACCGTACGTTTAAGTCGAGAGATTTTTTCATACAGATTTTAAACTTTGGTTTAAAATAAGTTCAAAACAATAATTCGAATAAATTTGAGCAAAAGTTTCGTAACAGATTTGAATCATATATACAAATATACGGTTAAACTTTAAAAAATGATGGAAGTGTATGTTAAGGACTCATTACGGTTTGAGACAGCTTTCCTATCTATCAAAATTCAAATATTGTACTGATAACTCTTAAATATTCGAATTAGCATATAATTGTTTTAATGTACAGGTATTGATACTTGTAAATACTTTTCTATTCATAGGAAACTGACATGAACCCAATGTTAAAAATGATAGAAACTGTCCTTCTTGCAATTCTTAACATTACTGGAAAAACAACGGTTCTTGTTGTATGCACAGTTTAAGTTTATATGGTAGTCATCGAAACATTCCCCCCCCCCCCCAAGGGTAACTGGGGAATAGAAATATGGTCACTTGGGTCTTTTTTCCACCGACAGTAAAACCCTTGTCAAAGTTGGGCGTGCGTTTGGCTGTGCGGGATGTACAAGTATTCAGCAATGGGGAAGTTAATCTCATACCTCGTGTAGAGAGATTACCACGCTCACTGCACGTTAAGAACCCTTGCAACAACTTTTTTAGTATTCCTTATGTGGTCCGTTGCAAGGTAAAATATCTGTCCCTATCCAATATACTCTCATTTTCCAGTGGCCATCTTAATTTCCCCGACCGTCATCCGAGGAGGAACCCTATTATAAGATCTTCCTATTGTATTTATAGCTAACTTGTTTTCGTCTTGACCATGCATGAAATATTTGCCACTGGACGTTAAGCAACCAACAATCAATCAATCAATCGAAACATTTTTGCCATATCTTTTTAAAATCAAAATAAAGAGCTGTGGTATGATTGCAAATGAGACAAGTATGCACCTTATACGTATTGAATATAAATATACTAATCTTAATTAAACGACAGTAAGGGTTGAGTACTGAAGAACCTAGTTAAACCAAGTGTACATGTAACTAGGCCTAACACGAGACAGACAATCTTTAATGATCGTATTTAGCTGTATATCTTAATGTATTGGTCCTTTGAATAATTTAGTAGTGATTAAAGATCTTTCTTTGGTAGTCGCGCTGTTAAATGGATCGAAAAAGTGTTTGTTGCAATTAGGAGTTTGATGTATGACATAGACAATAGACTGGTGTTGAATACTTCTTGCACATTTTGAACTTAAGATTATTTTTTTTGTTTCGTTTTTGTTTGTTTTTGTTTTTGTTCATTGACGTAAACTCTAATTCTTCTTTTAGTCATATATGTATTTTAAGAATGAAGTTGACCATCTAATGGTATAACTATAAACGTTTATATTATCACTCATTTACTAAGTGATTAAAAGGATATGATATATGTCAAGTATTGACATAAACATCTATAATTTAAAGCCAAAATTGTTAATAGCAGGTATCCCATTCTACAATTAATATCCGGAATATCACTTAAACACGTGATACTACGGAAACTGTAGATAATATGACATCAAAATGACCTACTATAATGCCTCCATGATGATATTCTGTCAACAGAATTATTGCTTTACCGGAAGTCAAGAGGTCGCCCATTAGTTACTATAATGTAACTTGTATCTTGCATCAATGTTATTGCCACTAATAAAAAAAATCCATCGTAAACATGTCTTTGGTGGTATCTATTAGGCTATATTCTTCAGCAAGAAGTAAGACAAGACCGTTGACAATCAGTAAAGACATAGAACGTACTTGTAAGGCATGTTGACACACAATTATTATAAAAAATTATTATAATTGACACATGTGGAGCAGGATCTGCTTACCCTTTCTGGGCACCTGAGATCACCTCCGCTTTTGGTCGGGTTCGTGTTGCTCAATCTATAGTTTTCTATGTTTTGTTTTATATATAGTAGATTGTCTTCTTGTCATTTTTTTTTCCATGGCGTTGTCCTAGACTTGTACGAGTTTGAATATCATTGTAGTGTCTTTGACACTTAGGAACGTCATCATCTGGCCGAAAAGTACGAGTTATCGTTAGCTCAGTGTTGAAGATCATTCAGTAATTGTCTATAGGTAGACTAGTAAGTGAATTGCTATATCTTTTTCCTAATATTAATATGCATAATGTTGTGCCATATTTTGTCTATTTTAGATTTTATATATAATATCATAAGAGTTGTGATATGATATTAAAAACAACCGAGCTCGTTTGATAATCATAATATTTGTGCTTTTCGAAAATATCTGAATTTAGATCTTGGAAAATGTTGATGTGTCCTGAAACGAAATGGCTACAATGATCAAAACTTATCTTCGAAATTTTTGAAGAATTGAGTACGAAAGGTGGAAGACACCAAAGAGATATTCAAACTCAACTAACAACTTCATGATAAAAAGAAAGGAAAAACGGGGAAAAAACAAACAACATTCTACAAAACACAACTTCGAAAACAAAAGACTAACAACTGGTGGCGATCACATGTGCTCCAGAAGAGTAAGCAGATCCTGTCCCACATGTAGCACCCGCCGTACTGCAGTCATGTAAGTGATGTCAAACTCGGTGATAAGTCTCATTCGGTGATTACACATTCCGCGAAAAGAGGACGGGATTGAGGTTCCGTCGTCATCTGTGGATCAGATATTACATAAAGGTCAACAAACTCGTGATAGCGTACGTAAATTTTTTTAAATTATGACTTTAACTTTACCACTTGGAATCCTTGGTTAAACAGCTTCCTTATAAGGAACAATCCTGAATCAAAGATATCATGATAGGAAATATCGTATCAACTGGAAAATATATACTCCATGTGCAGTCGCTACTGGAATGTTGTTACATAGAAATGGAAAGTTCACAATTGATTTTTGTTTTTGTTTGACCCGGTCTTAACCTATATTTTTAAAGAATTAAAAAATGAAAAACAATCTCGCGTAGAAAACAAATAGTAAGTGTATACTTTAATAAGGAAGTATTCTAAATTATTGAACATACCCGTATCCGTTTCTGAAATATTGTTGTAATCCTGAAGGGTATCCCACAAAACTTCGTTTACCATATCTGAATGGAAGTTTAACGGTGCGTTTTACGTATTGGAATGGGCTAGTATTAAAACAGTCACAGTTCATGTTATATTTCAATGGATTTATCCCTTCAGCACACAATTCTAGACAGTCTAGCTGTATATTTCTGCCTTGACTAATATGAACTAATAATGCTAAGAAGACTGTTACAATTCCAACATTTTTTACTGTATTCATTGTTTGAAGAGTATCTGAAAAGAAGAAAAAAACATTAAACTTATAGTTCTATACTACTTTTCTACATTAGTCTCATTTGATAATAAAAAAAATCAAAAGATTTGATTTGATTTGATTTTTGGTGTTTTAAAACCACTTTTAAGCACCGCTTTTGGGCTATTTCGTGGCGGCCAGTTTTTATTGGTGGAGGAAGTCGGAGTGCCCGGAGAAAACCACCGACCTTCGATAGGAAAACTGACAATCCTAGTCAATTAAGATTGGTGTCGAGTGCACCCGCGCGAGCGGGGTTCGAACTCACAACCTCAGTGTTGACTGGCTAGTGATTACAGTAGTAACTACTTAGACAACTCGGCCACCGAATCAGAAGACACAAGGCAGATTATTTTATTAGTTAAAAAATGGTTAATATATGTCATTTAATAAAAAGAATTAAGAATATCTTATTAAATTTTCAATAATATATATATTTTTTATTACACTTTTAATTCATCCAATTACTATTTTGAAAGAAAAAAAACAACAGAAATGAATGACTTATTAATATGATTCCTGAAATTTTCATATAGTGTGACGATTTTTGTGACTTAAGTTACTTCTCTAAAATAGTATTCTTGCATCTGATTTCATCGCTGTTTATATGATTTAGTAAAATTGGTTTTACTATATTTTTCTCAGAAAATGGCAGAGCTTTTTATATATTTAGTTCTTTCAGGAATCTTGTAAAAGTGACATAAATTATATGATGATTTTGTTTTCTATTTTTCTATATTTATTGTTAGAAATTTGAATGTACATATATAATAAACATCAATAACAGATAATTCCAATCTTGTTTTATTATACTTAATACTTTTCATCTTCAGTATATGTACAACTGTTCTATAAACCATGTGAACTGTTAGAGGAGTTTGACACTCAATCTGTGAATCCTTTACAAGAAATTTGCATAAATTTTACTGAGTTTCTAAGTTTTGCAATACAAAATATAAAGGTTCTACTGTGCAAACTTTAATTTGAGTTGAACAGACAAATCAAGTGCCCTAATATGTGACATTTTCTGAAGAAAAAAAATTCGAAAAACCAAAATCCTGTCTACGTGCTCATCCTTAATATAAGTACAACTGATCGGCACAATAAAAAGGGTTGTATTGTAAGGGAAGTTCGACAGACAACCCATGTGCTGAACATATAGACGGACGGACCGACATAGGTAAATTACTACGCCTACCGACTTTTTGTCGCCGGAGTCAAGAAAACAAAACACCCCGTTGCTGTTATTTCAGCGTTGTAGTACTGATATTGTGTTGTAATAAAGGACAACTATTATTATAAACATGTAGATCTTTTTTCTCCGATTGGTTCGCAATCATAATTACCACAAGTAAATTCCAAATTATAGTTGCCGTAAAATATGTTTTTATTAACCACAGACGAAAACATTCGCATAGCTTTATACTTAATTCTAACGTATCTACTTTGGAAGTATTAGTCTGTGTTCGGGGAATAATATACCATATAAACACGTATTACTTATACATTTAAAAGTGTATTTTAATGAAAATCTCACTCAAATTTTAGACATATGACTAAGGTTCCATTTAGCATTATAGAAATTTGCTGGGATAAAATAGAGGTATTAAGGTTGTAAGAAGTAACATTAGGTATTTAGATATATACGGATTATTTGTTTATATCAAATAAACTCATCTAAGATACCAGGATTAAAATTTTGTACGCCAGACGAGAGTAACCAGGTGCTCGAAAATAGGTTGAAAAATAATTTAGTTCATGAGACGTATATAATTATATTTACTTCCGGAAACTCAAATTAAAAAAAAACACTCCATAAAAGTACAAAACAAAATCCTAATTCAATTGTCGTATACGTTGAATTTTATTCTAACTTTATCCTGATGTTTAGTTATCATAACTTCTTAGATATTTTTCACAGAAATCAATGTAACATTTGCGAGAGAGAGAGAGAGAGAGAGAGAGAGAGAGAGAGAGAGAGAACTATTGCATGTTGACAAATAATCCAATTATTTAATATCAGTTATATGATAACTTAAACGTAGCATCTGTTTCAAAATGATTAGTAAAACTTACAGATTTATGACAATAGAGTGTCAATTATATAATAATGTTCGCGGGCATTACATTCAATTGTGCTAATAAACAACGAGATGAATCAGTAAGAATCTATCTGGCTGTTATATTCATAGATCATTCAAGACAGGATATAACAATTTTGTAATTGATTGTCTCTGGCTAAAAGACATGATATATCAGTGTCAATATTCAGATGCAGTTCAACGCACGTGGTTCAACGAGTTCTAAATGCATTAAACCACCTCGGTGGTCCGGTATTCGCCTCGGGTGAAGTAGGTCATTGGTTCGATTCGCGGCTAGGTCAAACCAACGACTAGAAATAGGTATTCGCTGCTTTTCCAATAAGCACAGAGCATTTAGGAGTATGTACAAAGACTAGGCGGCTCGGAGTAAGAATAATATGCCCGAGTAGGGTGTCTATTAAATGTTTGATACCTTCGGAGCTAGCACGTTATAAATTCGACTCAGCGTGTTGGTCTGGTGCAAAGCAGGGTTCATATTAAGATCACATTAACATGTTCTCGTCCTGAATATGCATTTAATTTGGAACTAAACGTTTTAAAACAGCCATCCATGACAATTATCCATTATTGTCATCATCATCTAAATACATAAATTGAATACATGTTGAGAAATTCTCAATTTATTAAAAAATAATTTTTATAAAACATAAAATTACAAGATTTCACGCTAAGTTGGTCTTGTTTTGCTGTTGTTGTATTAATGTTATGAATCATCAAATTGTAAAACTTCCTCTATACATCTGTAGGTTGTGAAACAATTCAATCTGAGCGTTCATGTATTAAGCAAATACACAAAGCACTATTACATAATACTAATTGTAACTAATTCGTATTTCTAATATTCATTGTTCCGGAAGCGACCATTGATATTCATTTTTTTCTTTTTAATTAGTGCTGCTTATAAAACTTAAATGAGTTGTTATTTCGATTGTAATAATGTAATAATAGTAGTTTGAAGTAAACTTTAGCACATTGGCATTCATTTCTTATACTTCATCCTGTATTATAAAAGTTCATTGATGACACCGAAGGGCATTGCCATTTGTGAAACTGTTACAGGTAAAACGTCTAAAATTTCAAATACTCAATAAACATTTTATAATTCCTATTATTCTAGATCTGTTAAAGCTCTCAGTAGATAAGGTTGCAACTTCTACGAACAATTGAGGAAACAAAAGGCTTATCAAATGCCATTTATCGAAGAAAAAACTGACTATTGTAGCCAAAAAGGACTAAATTTTTCATGGACAAACAGCAGTTAACAAAATGCTATAAAGAACCTAAGAATTGTGCACCAGACCATCAGCAAAACAAATGAACGATCTAAGATGCACTAGAAGCATTTAATGTTTCCATATGTTCATATGGAAAGTAAATATTCGGTGATCAGTGCCTTTACAAACTTAATCATGCCAAAATGAACTTTGTTTTTAGGCAATGGTTTTATGATCTTTTTAGTGGAATGAACTATACTTTGTCGACTTCGATCTTGTTTAAAGAATGCAACAATTTTCAGCAATATAAAAATAGTAAAGATCGATCAAGGACAGATTGTGCTCTCATTTAGAAAATCCCATCAGAACCAAACAATATATTTCATATGCTTGCTTTCTGTTGAATGTGATCGTTTAAATGGATTATAAAGCAATTTCATCTATGTTTCTTCAAAAAAAATGATTGAACGGATGAGTAAATTAAAAGATAGTTTATTTAAACAACATGATTAAAAATCTTTATTGTCTTCACATATTATATACAATTATTATTTAATCAAAAATTTTCGACCCTCTGAAATCCCTTTAAAATAATTATGCTGTATATGCATACACAGAAATATACAATTAAAGTCTCTTGGTATCCCGTTTCTTTATGCTGAGCAAACAATGTTGTGAAAATTACTGTTCACGTCACAGTTAATTTAAGGAGTTCTGTTCGCTCTAAGCCGATTTCTATGAAAATTAAAGAAAGACAACGTCTAAAAAACCAGTGATCATCAATGTTGAATGCAGGAGAGTATGATATAAATACTTTGACGAAAAATATGAAAATTTGTACGATAATTGTACACTAATTGTAAACAAGAGAAAGACAAGGCAAACCTCGCGTTTCTTTTAAAGCTCGTAAATATACATTTTGTATTTTCCTTTAATGTAGATATATTGTATATTAAGCAATATATCATTCGGTTGTTTGAAAGTTAAAACGTTAATACGATTTGTTTTCCCTTTTTTAATCTAATAGTGGATTCATATTGAAACTAATCTGGATGACCATGATTATGGTTGTGAAAAAAAACCCCACTGATTACCTCTGTTCAGAAAAAGCTACATAGATTATTATCAATATCTAGATGCAGTTCAATGAACTACAAATGCATTAAACCGCCTCGGTGGTCGCGTGTTCCACCCGAGTGATGTAACCGGGTTCGACCCCCGGTCAGGTAAAACCAACAACTGTAAAATTGTTATTCCCTGCTTCCCCGACAAGCACATGGCAGTTTTTGTAAAAACAAAGACTGTGAGGCTCGGAGTATTATGTCAGAATGGCTTGTGAGCTAGCAAGTTATAAATTCGGCTCAGCGTGTCGGTCTAGTACAAATTAAAACAGGGTACATATTCATATCACATTAACATGTTGGCGTTCTGAATATGAACATCAACTGCCACTAAACGTTAAAAACCAGACATCCATCGTCATCTACATGCATACATTGATTTCATGTTGAGAAATTCTAAATAATAAAACAAATAATTCTTATAAAATTTAAATTTTCAAGTTCTCACGCAAAGTTGGTTTTACTTTGCTGTTGCTGTATTTATGTTACGAATCATCAAGTTGTATAACTTCCTTTCTCTAATTCTTCGTCAATTTATCCCTTTCTG